ATTCACAGTCCCTCACGGATTTCCTGGTGATCGAGGTTCTCTCTCTCGTTCAGAGAACGGCACTGAGTTTGAAGGATCAAAGTGCTGATGAGAATATCTGAGCCTTGCTTCATTTGGCAGCCAGTCAAGCTCCTGAAAGGGATCATCGCCTGTGGCATTAACCTGTTCAGGGGGGTTTGTCGGAGTGCTGGTGACTTGTGTCCATTCGGTTTCCGCTCCTTCGCAACAAGGACTCAACCTGACTGGGATTTGACTGCTCATCCATTCCCCGATATTTGCCGCAATGGCCAACGCGGATCCGATGAACGTGTCCATGAGTTCAATTGGAAAATTCGGGGTGTTCATGGGCATCCAATCATCCAGATTTGGCGTAGGAAAAGTGTTGTTCTCTATTGTCTCGTTTGATGATGGGGAAAACGAGATTTCTTCTGCTGTGCTGGCGACAGTTGATGACACAGTCTGAATGACTGGTGTGTGAGTCGAGGAAGTTTCGGTGAGTTCAGATTCGCTGGATTCAACTGAGGAAGTTGATACTGTGACTCCGAATTCTTCTGCGGGTTTTCCGTATACGATGACGGGTTCCAATAAGTTATCCGCGATGCTTGAAGAGTCAAGTTGTGTAGTTGTTGAATCTGTTGAAGGAAAACTGGTGGTTGACGAAGTTTCAAATTCACTTGATAATTGTCGCGCGGATCTAGAGATAGTGTGAATTTTCCGGGCTGGATTTCCCGACAAATTCGGAGATTTCTTTCTCTCGCTGCTGCGATAGGCTGCATGTTCACTTGTTTCCAATGATTTCTTGAGTGTACCGTAGACGACGATGGGGTCATAAATATTGTTGCCTCGTTGATGGATTTTTTCTTGCGATGTAATATTCGATTCCGTGTGCTCTTTTGCGGTCGTTTCATTTTGGTTTGAATCATCATTCACCTGTTGATGACATTTGTTTAATGAGTGAGGAAAAGGGGTCTAAACATAATTTATTTAAGCCGAAGTGTGCTTTATTCATTGTCCACGTCATTCTTCATTATAAGGAAGATGACTTGCAGACAATAACCTCAGGATGATGGATTTTAAACGTTACCCGTATGAGGTGAACCAGAGAATAATTCATGTATTGAAGCTGCACTACACGCTTTCTGTGGGAAAGTTTAAATTAAAAATCGCTTTTGAGGATTTTTGGTCTTCGTTGAATTTGATATGGAAACCCCTGTTAGACTTGCGTGTTAAAAATGTGCAATCCACACTTCCTATTCTATCTTAGTGAGTACGGCAACACTTCGGAAAATGTGCCACTGATTGGAGAGCAGTGACCCATCATACATTGAATCTAACACGGTACGTTCCGAAAAGCGGTGTGAAGTTAAATCGTTTGGTTATGTGTTGTGTGAATCTGAATCTGCATTCAAAATTTCAGACGTTCACCATCAGCAATTTTTAGTTCAAAAACTTTCCGTATATCTGTTTCAAGTACAGTATTGGTTCTTTGTTGTTCTTCAGTAGCCATTTACGTTCGTCGTCCGTGTTGGTCTGGGAAGTCATTGGTCCGTTTATTTTTATTTTTATTTTTTATTCTCACTTGGAATGATGACGTGACAAGAGCCCTTGAAGAGCGGGGCTGAATATAATGAACCTTGCTGCGTGTGCTGCCTTGGTTATCATGGAGACGATCCTCGAGGGGCTTCCTGTGAGGATTCCTCTGCAAATCCGCGATACTCGAAGATCTTTCTCCGTTGTCTTGCCGGCCGGTATCCCAGATCCAGGGATCTGTCTTGCTCCCGATCCGACGAGGGATGATCGGGTTCCCGCCGGGGTTTATGTTGGGTTCCTGGAACCTGGGATTCGCGAGTCTTAGAGGAGATACCGGCGGTTGTCCCAGGAAGTTATTGAGAAACAGTTCCTCACGTGGGTGCTGCAACCCACCGTGACCCGGGGGTTCGAGCTGCAAGACTGGGTCCCCGAACACGATGTCTCTGATGAAGTCATCCTGCTGATGAGGTAGAAGGTCGGGTCGCAGTGAACCCAGCTCGCCGAATTCCCGGGGGAATGGCGAGAAAATTTGCTGATTTTGTTCCGTGGTCTCGCCTTCAATAATGAATAGGAAAGTCGAAGATGTTGAATTTGGGGTTGAACTGCATTTATAAGTCGAATTTCAAGGAACAAGGAAAAAAATGTGACTTAGGGAAGTTTCCATTTAGGGAGGCTTCTATTTAGGGAAATAAGCATTTTTTTGTGGGAAGCATGAAACAATTGCAGGAAAATGTAAATGGTGATATTCGGGGCCTTAGAAATTACTTCTTAAATGAGTGTAAATCATGCTGAACTTGAAGGCAGGGGTTCATTTTCCCAATTAGTCTGTCACTTCCTTTCAAAACACACTAAGTTACTTGCTTTATTACTTTTCTCTTTCATGAACTGTATCTAGGAAATAATAGCCACAAGGCTGCAGAAAATTTGACCTAAGGACGAATTGAGAGAAAAATACTTTGAGTTAGGGAGGTTTCTAAAATATTGTTTTTAAGAGAATTCAGACGGGAGACATGAAAAAATTTAAACTGAGGGATGTATTTGGCTTATGGAGGTTTGACTTATCAAGGTTCAACTGTATTACATCTTGGACAATGCACAGTATACAGATTTTTGAAAGCAGTGTACAGTTACTGTCATTAAAACAATATTTTATGATGGTTAAGGCTATAGAGCAGAGGTTCTCAACTCAAGAGTTTCCAGAATAGCTCCTTGGCTACACCTTGACAGGAAACTTGACATACCTAACTAAATCCAAAATCAATTGAACTCTAAGAAATATATAAGCCAGTAAAGACAATTTCATGTGAGAAATACAGTTGAATCTCTGTAAGTCAAATTTCTAGGGACCAGGAAAAAAATTTGACTTGAGGAGGTTTTGATTTTTGCAGGTTTTGAATTGAGGAAAAAATAATTCTTGCTGCGAGGATTAGTAAAAAAAAAATTGCAGGAAATTGCAAATGAGGAGATTCTGGGCCTAAACTTAAACTCGATGAGTTTATATTGTGCTGAACTGGGAGGCAGGGGTTTATTTGCTATATTTGTTTTTCAATTCCTTTCAAGATGCATCACATTATTTGTTTTAATCATTTTCTCTTTCATAGCCTTATGCGCTTATGGGACCAAAAAATTAAATACTGTACAAAGAAATTTGTTGTGGGCAAGGTCGTTTTAGAGAGAGTCCACCTGCATCTACACATTGAAATCTTCTGTAAGAATTTATATGATCAGACTTTCTTGGCCTGCACTTCCCAATATAAAGCCCCCAGCAACCGTTTCAAGAAATTAATGCACAAAGATATCTGTAAAATAAATTATTAGAATTTAAAACAAAAAAAGAATTATAAAATTCCAAGCTGTATGAGGATCTCAAATCAACTGATGCAACCATGTCATGGAAAGGAAAATTTTACTCCTAATGTGAGGCCAGGAAGATTTATTTTCGAAGTGTAGAGTCATACTCATCTTGCATGCAGTATTTATTTTTGAAAATAAAGGGAAACTTTCTTAGTAACTATAAGTGGTTAAAAAATGATATTGATTTTTGGATTCGAAAAAATGTTCTTACCGAAGTCATTCCTGATGGCGGCGTAGGTGTGAAGAATTGATACCAGAATCATGCAGTCAAACATGCTGGCAAATTTGAATGAACACTACGCGGCCTTCGCTACAATATTTGGCACTAATTGGCTTGAATACAAAGCTCGCCAATTTTTTCTTTCTTTTTTATTTTGTGCTTGGAGTGGTTGAATGTTGTTACGAAACTGAATGAAGTGACTGCATGCATGCATACATGGGAGTGGCATTCACTTTCTCGTTGTGCTGGTCAATTGATAGGGGACCCATATTTTGACGCAATACGATCAGTATTATGGATATGCATACAGAATATGATGAGGGCATGATTGTTCCCACTTTTTAACAAAGTATTTTGATATAACTTCCAAGCCCTGTTTTTTCATCTACAGTATTTGAGTTACAATGACTTCGGCTGTTTATTTAGATTTGAATATTTTAAAAAAAAAATTCTCCATTTAAATAACATGAATATTGCATTCTAATATACAGTATATATCACACAGTTTCTCACAAATTTTGCGTTGCCAGCATATTTTTAAAGAATCGTTTTGCAGTTGATTTTATTTGTGCTGCGGAGGTGAGAAACCTCAAGACAATATTTTGCAAGGAAATACGTTTAAATAAATAGGATTTTTCAAATTGTTGCTGGCACTCATATAAAAACTTTTTGTCAGAAAAAGTCACTCCTTGTGGAATTTGCATCGAAAATATTGCATTCTTACTGCGCAATCTAATGATGGGTTCATATTCTTCACGTTTTAATATGTACAGTTTAAAGAAGAACAGTATGGAAACCTCCGAGAAATATGTTTTTCATTATTCATTTTTTCTTAGTATTTTTGCTTCGTTATTACCGTAATTCATCTGAAATAGAAAGCCGCTTTAAAAGATCGGATTCCTTGTTTTCATCGATTAGAAGTTTAGAACAAATCACGGGCATTAATTGAACCACCTCAAATTTGAATCTACCGTATTACTTTTAAAGTTTTTGTTATCCTTTTTTCTCCTTTTACACGCATTAATTTTCTATGTTTTTGGCCGTTTTAAGGGTATTCTCTGAACGTCGTTTTGAAGGGAGGCTCTTTCCGTGCGACATCTATTTA